TTGAGAACGAAACGGATAGATACAATGACATACTCTACTCGTATCGTCCTCCGTCAACCGCGTCGCCCATCTTCTGCAGTGTTCCTGAACGATGAGTTAGGTTGCTGCGCCCCGCCCGCCACACCAATTACCCTACAATTCCCCTCGGCACTTCCCCCACATTGAGACTTCTGGATTCTCAAGGGAGAGAACATTTCCCAAATATTGTCCAAGGTATGTTCCAGCAATAAATGGCCCACAAACAACAAGCGGCCGGACTTCCTATGTATCAAACGAGAGCATCTCGGCTCATGTTTAAATCAATAAATTAAGACTAGCCAACACAGGAACATATCACGCCAAAGCATCCCGATAAACCCCGCAGAATTGATATATTTTCCCGAGTTAATACTATCATAGTAGTGAATGGAGACGGTTAGGGACGGAAGGGCGCGAGCCTAACCTCGCTGAGATTCGCGCATCCTTATTACGCCCTCGGATATTCAGGGAGAGAACAAGTTCAAGTTAGTCCCGCGTTCCGTATAGAATCTGATCACTCACCAGAACAAGTTAATCCTCGTTGCTGTCACAGGCGAATCAGGGGAGTTGCTAAGTGGAAGTATTCCAATACGGGCCATGGTCCCGGGCTAACGAAATACGTCACACAGATCATTGTGGTCGACTGCTTGATTTAAGATAATAAATATCCCAAACATCTATGGGGGATATGGTTTAGTGGTATAATACCTCTTTAGCATAGAGGTGGTCCGGCGTTCGATTCGCCGTATCTCCATTTTTGTTTTTTTTCACGACTTTACAAGTCATTTTTAATCACTTCTCCACCCCCCCTCTTCCTTTGAGACATGATAATGACAGTCTTTCTTCCGCTGATCCCCCTCCCAAACAACTAAGGTTACCATAACGTCAACCTTCCGCCATCATATCCAATAGTTGCTTCTCCATCACACAATTCAACCTTATAGACAAAAAACTAACCATTCAACCCAATCAATTAAAATAACCGGTCGTTTAAAACCAAAGTTATGACCATCTAGCAATAGTACCCATCACACCTAAAAACCTAGCACAGCCCTAGATCTAACTTCTACAAAACAATCCCGCAATATCCATGCCTCATCGGGTCAACCCAGGGGGGCAACTTCTGTCTGATGCATGAATACCCCATACAACACCTATGCAGCATATCGCAGTTCTCCCTGATATTTCGACAGCCTAAGAGAGTTAGTCCAGGCTGCCAGCCTAGCGGTGTTATAAATCGTTACCTCCAATCACCCATTCCCAAACTTCCACCTTGACACCCTCCGGCACTGGTTCGGGTGGAAGATTCACTCCAGCGGCTATTGGCCAGTAAGCCGAAGCACTAGAACCAGCCACCACTACCCCCTAGCACGCGAGCTTTTCGGTGATGGACTCACCACTTGTTTCTTTAGCCGCAGCTAAGAGGCCCTCCTGGGCATCATCCAGAGAAGTGGTGATCTCCGGGGGTGGCCCCGGCTTCGGTTGGACACCGCTGATTGTGAGAGCCATTGGACTGTACCGGTCGTTGGTGCTAGCAATCCGGATCCTGCCATTTCCCACGGGGTGTGATAAGGCTGTCTGGAACAGAGTTAAGGGTATTAGGGCGACGTAGAATAGATTGAGGTTTGTAGACTTCATGGTGTATCAGGTCAAGATGTGCGGCAAGTTATGAGGGGCGGGAATGGTGGGGGAAAGATAGGCAGCGGGTGGTTTATAGGACGTCTAGGGAGAGTAACTCGTGCTTACGTATCCAGCCGACAGGATACGTAGTCACTGAAGCTGGAAATGGTAGGTCGCAGTTTTCTTCGTTTATTTTCCCGTGCCCGCTTTTCACCACTTAATTTTACCAAAGGTTTTGGGGTCCTATTACCGCATTTCTTAGCTATCTGGTTTCCTATCATTAAGGTTTGTAATTAAATTTTATATGTTTTCCTCTCCTCGTCTAATCATCTACACCACATACTCGGCCCTATTCCCCGCCACCGTCTCCGAAACCGAGTGACAACAGATGACACCCCATGGGCCGCTCGGGTGAGCGATCTTTTGGACAGAAGGCTTACATATCCATACCGGGGCTGGTACTGCAAAAAAAAAATTCGACTTTTGGGTGGCGGTACTTGTGATAAAGACTCTAAAATTTCTATTTCACGCCGATCGCACATTCAGGCTGGCAGGCCGTGTGCAAAATTCACGTCCGAATGGTTCAACTTAGGGGGCAGCTTCATGTAATAGCGTTCACGGATAGAAAAGTCTCCCGGAAAGCGTTTAAGACCTCTGATACTGAGCTTTGACAACTGTTTCCACAAACTCCAAACGTGGGAACTCTACAATCGAAGCCTATTTCCAAGGCAGTATATCCCACGCGCAAGAATTGAACCAGCATACGTCTCAAAGCGGTAGAAAGCCGGCATCATTGGGAGGGGGTCTCGGCGTATGTACCAAAGAGCCTTATAATTCGCAAATCCTCTTCCTACAACGCTCCGATTCCTCTTCTGAGTTTTCCCAATGTCTCTTTCGAGTATTGTGGAAACTTGTTGACTCCTCCAATACGCCAATATCCCTCTGACCCTCTTCACGAGCTTCCTCCTTCGCAGCCCTTTTATTACTTTCCGGTTCGTCCTCCTTAGCTTCCACCTCACCCATAACTACAACGCAAACCCCTGTCAGCAAGAGAACCATCTACCGCGAAAATAATGACGGGCGAGAACAAACCTTGATCCTCCCTGACCTCACCCCCCGGTTTATTCTCAGCTCCCTCCTTTCTCAGTCTCATAACCCACCTCCTCACCATAGACAAATCCCCATCTCCTTCGAACTCATCCACCCTATCGCTCAATTGAGTGAGAAAAATACTGCGCCCCTCGTGTACGCCACGGTTGTATTCGGGGATGAGCGAATCGCGTGTAGCACGGTGTGTCTCTGCAACACCTGCAACCACCTCCTGAAAATGCTGGGTTACTGGGTTCATTGTCGTTCTTAATGCAGCGCCGATGCCGGTAATGGCTTGCTGCGCACGTGGAGGTTGTTGGCATGGAAGTGGTTGTTGGCGGTATCATAGTGAGGTTTATATACATACTATACCGATGGCTATGAAGTGATTACGTGGATGAGGTTGGGGTTGGGGCAGAGGGTATCATTGGGAATTCTTCTGTGTATCATACTCAATCTTAAAAGGTGGATACAGAGAACGCAGCTACGGAGAACACAACTTCGGCAAAAAAATCATGGCTGAAAAGCCTAGAGAACCTAAGCTCAAAATTGATACTCCTCTAGCCAGAAATCTACAATGATACTAGTACGATACACCCTCCAGCACCCGACCCCAGCAAATATAAGGAATCTGATACCACTACCCAAGCGCCAAGCTATTGGCCAGAGTCCCCGGTTCGTTGCCGAGGTCTCCCAACATGTGTTGTACTGTACGAGTACTGTACCTGCAGAATTCAACCCCTTAGAATTGCGAGAAGTGATTAGTAAGAAACTACTACCTACTTCATATTTGGCTAGAGTGGTGGCAATCCCGCAATCCCGCAATCCCATAAGTGAAACCCATCGTCTATATATCCATCGATACCCAAACATAATCGATGCCTCCAAACCCTAGCTCAGTCATCTCCCATCTAGACAGACCCGTACAGTATAGTACCAACAAGGAAAACCAACGTAACTGGAAGATTCTCCAAATATAATATCTTTCCTCGCCTCGCCCACCTAACCAGGCCACCAATGAAGAACATAAGAATCTGAACCTCACCCCACAACTTACAACACCATCTCAACTCCTTACACTAACTGTTGCCCCATTGTTTTCCAGAGAGGACACCGATACGCTAGCTGACCTTCAAGCCTTTTTTTCTACGTACAAACGGATAAATGAAAACCGCAACCGCACATCCGAAGAAATCACGAAGGCGAAGAGAATTAAAGCAGAAAACTCATGAGGAAATAGCAATCGAGAAAGTACAAAAGGGGTAGGGAAAGGCTACCAGAGAAGGGGATGAAGGATCAAGATGGGCTAGTGAGAAGGAGAAGGATAATCCGGAAGGAAAATGAAAGTATGGGCAGGGAGGAAATATGGGATATGGTAACCGAGAGCAATTGTGATGGCACAACGCTCTTGCAGGCTTCTGGGCCCAGGTACCAGTATTTGTCCAGTGACCGGCAGGACCCGTACGAGATGGAGTCCACGGCAGACCAGTAAACCCTGGTCACCTTTTGTATGATATCATACCGAAAAAACCCTTTACTCGAGTACTCTTACTCGTAAATCCACCATCGGAGATCTCAAACAGAAATTAGTATCTAAACCACAATAGACTTAGCTGGGTAGGTTAGCGAAATAACGAATACCCGTTAATTAGATCCAGCAAGCTCGGACTCCCCAAGCTATACTCTGTCTGGATAACACTAGTCCTTCTTAGAGTGTCCCGTCTTGAATTGCGAGGCTTGAAGCCACGTTGTCCGATGGTGGATTTAAAGGGTTTTTGCGGGTATTTACCACTCCACAGCCCTAACTCATTCCACTGCACAGCGAGCCCCCGCCATAGACTAGCAGCCATCCGCACATATATGATACTAGCCACTATTGCAATCCCGCCTGAGGTTCAATCAATGGTATTGCTCAAACCTTCATACAGCTCGCGATCACGGGCACCCTCTATGCGATGGAATACGTTACACTCCGCAGGAAGGCGTGATGACATGATAACATATTATCATAATAATAATAATAATGGTGATGAGCGGGCGGGAGGCGATCTCTGTCCTATGATTATTTTTTTGAGGGTCAGTGATCTACAGGGTAATTTATTTGGAAATTTTTTAAAGCCTTGCCCCATAACTTAGGGTTAAAGAGAGCAATGCCCCCTATATCCTTAACTACACCTATGGACCTCAGGATTCAACCGAGTTTTAGTATTTCGGCGAAAGATCGCGCAAATATTCTCTCGGTGGGAGAGAAGCCGCCCCCTAGTGTTGTGCTAAGAATCTAATAAATTATATCTTCCAGCACACCACGCTAGTACACCGATTACCACTCAGTATCAAGAGTCCTAAACGCAGCTCGGCGCGCATTCATACCCAAAAAACATCCGGTATTGGCTTCACAACCAATACCACATATATCTCCACAAGGACTCTAATATTCAATCGTTGCTTTCCCATACGACTTCCCATCATACACCAAGTCCAGCTCCAAATCGGCTGACCCAACCTTCATGTCGACACTGAAACTGGCCCTCGAAACCGGGTCTTGAAAGAAAAATAATAATACGGATTTCCTGACTTGGAACGCTGACGGTGGCATCGTAGTCACGTCACAGGTGACCGTCCCCAACGTATCCACCACTTTTCCGTTGTTAGTCTTCTGCCAATTCACAAAGGGCAGGATAACCTACTCCAGTGCTTAGCACTCAGAGGCGGACTGTCAAATTTGCATCCTACGAGGGAGAGTTTTACCCTCTGTCCATCACCCGGGCGGAAGGAGACCCCGCAGGGTATCGAAATTACTTTTTCATCGCTGGCATCATCGCCCTATTCTTCCTTTCAACCTTGCATCTAGTCAAGTGCGGTGGCGGAAGAGATCGTATATACCTTTGTTGCTAGCCACTCAACGTTATCCCGGCTGTATTTTGTCCCGTAATAAGGATCTACGAAGGAATCTTCTTCGTCGTGTACACCCGCTTCAAATCTTTTGGCTATTATTACGCCGTAATGTTGCTTCAGCTTCCGTGTATGGACTATGCCCTCGAGGCCATGGAGAACTGCGCCCCGGACCACAGCAGACCAGCTGTAGGTTTTCAGTACACCACTATAGGAACTGGCTTGTGGGATTTCGGCGAGCTTACCAAAAGGTGGGATTGATGACTCGGATGTTGTAGGACTGTCGCTTGGCCCAAGCCTGCACTTGTTTAAAGAGATACCCAGATTCGCCGAAGCCGCCAACCAGGAAGATTGTCTATTAATTAGTTTAAGGCATAAAATAACAGGCGAGGGATATCATACAGATATTTTATTTGTAGGATCCAATCTGTTAGAATCCCGGACCTGCTGATCTAATAGGGAGATTGCCTGCTCGACGATCGGATCGAACAAGCTCTTCATATCGGCCCTATTCAATACCTTAGCCCCATCGGCCCATATGGATATAGGCAATAGCCAGTTTACGATACTCACACCGTCAATCTCAATTCTCCATCCACAATCCCATTTTCGGGATCATCTCTCACATACCCAACGGGGATCCGCCAGAAGTCTGTACGAGCCGTCGTTCCAAACCCTTTCTTTGCCATGTCGAATGTAGTCATAAGGGAGCTCTGTGGCGCAGTCTTTCGAGCGGCCCACCCCCTAAATATGGGTCCAATGCGGGATTCTAAAAGGCTAAGGAACGCTCTGTCTACCGCAACCGACCCACATTTCCCACCAGAACCTATAGCGGCTTCGTATAAGCTTAATTTAGGACGCACCTTCTCAACCGTGTAGGTTATCAAATCCTGGGAATTCAGCAACTTCTAAAGCTAGTGCGTTGTCCAAGTTAACTTACCACTGTCCCGCCCCCGGCATCGCAAATAACGACTCGCTCACCTGGCTAGGGTTTCGTTAATATTAACCCAGAAACGCCGAAGCAGAAGAGAGCCTACCTCGAGAGGGCTACAGGTATCAGAGCGTTCGTGGTAAATCTCCTTAAGACAATAGGATGCCGCAGCTTCAGGTTCTGAAACCATTGTCAATGTATCCCCAGCTCTCGATGTAAATCCAGCATCCCTCGCTGCTTGACAGGTTGCGTTCTGCGCCTCGTGACTCCATATTGCCGGCGTCGTCAAAACGAATTGAACCGGCGTATTATCCAGTGTATGGATGTCTCTTTCGCTCAGTGTCTTCATAAGATGCGTGTACAACAGTTTGAGGTAATCCGTCGTGGTTTCTACTGCAGTCTTTCCTGCGGGCAACGGAATGTTTGCGTACGAGCGTTCCATGGATTGGGGGTTCGATGCGGCCAGTCGGGGGTTGTCGTACTTTGTTGCTGCGGCGTTCGCATCTAGGGCAAGCTTAAAGTAACCATGGCGGAGCTCGCCCGCGGGAATATCATAGCCCCAAGTTGTGCCGTTGTTTGAATAGCTAATTTCGGTGGGGACTTTGTCATAGTTGGTGTTTCCCCGACCTGGCCAGCTGGTGATCACCTCTATACCCCTGTAGTCGGGGTTTGATGTGTGAATATATGCTAGCCCTGGAGGTACCGGTCAGCCATGGGGTATCCGGTTATTGAAGGTCAGACGCTAGTTACCAGAGTAGGTCGTGCCAAAGTCCACTTTAACCGATGGATTAGAATATCGTGGATTAAAAGCGAAGGGGGAACATACCACCCACTACAAACCTATGGCGTTTATTTGACATTTCGGATTTGTAGCCTCTACTGTTGCTGCTGCTGCTGTTCCTATTGTTGCTATAAGTTGGCGATAATTCACAGTGTTGAATGATTAAATTGGCCCTAGTTTCCTATGCCAAGACACTGTGCTCTGGATCGACTATCCAAGCCTTGTACGTACAAGTATCTTACGGGAATTCAGATGGAAAATCAATACACCACGCCCTCGAGTGTCTCACTCCTTATTTTTTGTCCCGCCGCTGCCTTGGGGTCTTGATTCTCAAACTAGTTCACCCCTCATCCAACTCCCATACAAAGAAACGTGTCGACAGAGCTGTATGACGCCTGATCCGTCGAAGTAAATATCTAGGCCCCGCCTCAAGACCGCAGCAATTAGAATCAATTCCCTGCTCGGGCTACTGGAAATCCAATACGAGCAGAAGCATTGCTCTACGCGTTCATTCTTGCTTTTTTCCGTGCGGGGAAACCCCGTCCTAACTTGTCTATTGGCAGTTTACTCTCAGTAATTTACACCCCGTAACTCCGATTACCCCATAGACGGATGAGACATGCAGATTCCGGACCTTCCTAGTCCGGGTGCGGCCCAGTGACTTCCCCTGTTAAAAATCATGAAATCTCAAGTGGAAAAGTCCCTCAGCCACAGCATAGACCCACCGTAAACGGAAGTCCTGAATCTGCATGTATCATCCGTCCATGGGATAGTTACTTATTCCATTTCCAATTGCACGATAACAGCTAAACCACCCACACCACCGAAGATCATGGATGCTGCTCGGCATGCTCAAGGGCCAAGGCTTTGTTCTCTTGTCCGCTGGCATATCCATCCGCCGGAATCTCTGCCCGTCCGTTGGGATCACTACTCGTCATTGGTTTTTTTGTCGCCCCTCCATCTGCCCGTCCGCACATTCGCTGAGCGTTCCCGGGGCCGGCCGTTTGTCCCACCACCAACACTTTTGCTCGGGCGTCTAGCGGTTCTTCTGTCCGGCCGCTTGTTCGCTCCTGCCCGTCCACTTGCCTGTTCCCGCCACTTGTTGGCGCATTTGCTTTGTTGGAACGGAGGTTCTCGTTGTGCGTTTTAGAAAAGCGCTTCCGACAGAGAAGGATACGAACGTCAAGGAAGCTATAGACCGTCGGGGGTCTTTGTTCCTATATTTCTTTTGTTAGCAGTAGGAGCGCGGAAGGCAATTGGAGCGCAGAAGGCAAATTCGAGAGTCTTTGAGTCTATTGTTTGTTCTCTCATTTGTTAGCATGATTGATAGCGTGGGAGCGCACAGAGGAAATGAAAATGAGTGTGGGGGGTGTTAGAGATCCCGGTATGCGGTGATCGCAGGAAGGATAGGATAGGTGATCTTTGTCGTTTATTTATACTCCTGTTTTTTCCTGTCAGTTAGTTTAGTGGATCTGTAGAGCTGTGGAGTCGTGGAGCGAGAGATAGAGAGTCGTTGAACAGAGCGAGTTGCGGAGCGACCTTGGTGAACTTCCCCACTTTCGGTTGTGCAGAGTTTTCACAGCGCATTTAGTGATCGCCGTTTCGTTTCATCGTCGCTCGTTCGGTATAGTCCTAGCTCCAGTTAGCCCGTTGATTCCTAAAACACACTACTCGTTGAAAGAATCCTGGACACTGAGCGCCCAGTACCGATATCTCACGATACTCGCCGCCCGGCCCCAAACACGGAAGAGAGCCGCCCCATTCACACCAGAATACTAGAACACCATGAACCAAGGCCCACCCGAGACCTCCCATAAGCAGAGATGGGGTCTATCAGCTTATCAAGGTTATTTTTCTGTAAGAAAAACTCTTCCTTATATCCTAGGAAAACCTCTAATCCTTCTCCAGGGTACCCACAAATACAATGGGCAGCCGGAATTAACCAGCAAGCCAGCTGAAGAAAAAGCATTCAAAGGAGTTATTAAACGTAATGTAATGCTAGAGGCTGAGCTAGTGAAGTTAGAAAAGCAGAAAGAAAAAGTAGACGAAGCTAACGAACGTCTCCAACGCGATAACGAGGCACTCAAGACCCAGGCCACAGTGTTGAAAGATGGAATTGCACAGCTCAAAGGTGAATTAGAGGAAAGTGAGAGAATCCGGGAAGCACAAATGAAAGAACTCCGACAGCTTCAGGCTCAAGACTACGAGAGAGCGAAGGGTGCTACGGGGGAGCCGCACGAGGCCATCAGCTCCCAATTCCGGGAGATATTCGCGCAGTGCTCGCACTGGGCGAGGGACTATTTTAACATTAAGATGGTGGATTTTGATATCAGTAAATTCCCGGAGTTCAAAAGGGAATTGGAAGAGGTGTCCTGGAGTAACAGTGACTGGGGCAGTAAGGTGCTCTTTAAAGCTTCACACTTGGTCCAAGCGGTGCTTGGGAACATGATTTGCGATCAAATCTTCTCTTCTCCCTTTTCCGGCACACCGCGGGGTTTTTTTCAACAGTTCCAAAATATGTATGAGATCAAGTATAGTAGTATGTCTTCCTCTTCTAGCCCTGGGGTTCATGCTGATGAGTGCAGTTGATAGAGCAGAGGCACAGCGCTGGCGGGCGAGCAGTCTCCAGACACTTTATTCGAGCAAGAGATGGCCATTAAGCAGCAAAGAATCCCACTCGCTCCGAACGTGCAAACAGCGCCACGCAAAAGATATCTATTGGGACATCGATGAAGTCCTCAGACCGATAATTACTGCCCACTATCCCAATTTATCGGATCAGGAAGCGGACGTGCAGAAAGAAAGGCTCTTCTCGATAGTCGAAGACGCCAAAGCACTCGGTGAGAAGATGGGCAAGCAATCTTCCGAGCTACGGATGCTCTCTAAGTCCTGGTTCAGCAAGAACGATCGACTTTTTATCCTCGACGACGTTCGAATGGAGAGTAGACTCGGCAACGATGAATACGACCCTCGAGACGATTTACGGGTTGACTTGATTCTTTCCCCAGGGTTCCTCAAGTATGGCAACGACAATGCGGAGAACTTAGACGATTGGAATGTATGGACGCCTGCAATCGTGGAAATAGATGTCCCGCTCCCACCGCTGCCCTCGAGACTGCCGGCGCCACCTGCAAAAACACGGCCCGCGTTTACTACGGGATATCCCGAGTTGCCCCGGGATGGGCACAAGCAGGAGGCCGCCTCGCCCAGCACCACGACCGAACAAGAGCACTGCAAGGACGGGGAGTACGAGGACGTACCGGTAGATGCTCCCATGGACCCAGGCCCTTATGACTGTTTGGGATGGCATTAGGGGTTTGACTTGTTTTGATAAGAATTTTTTAAGGTTTTATTATTAGTCTACGATACTTATTACCCACCCCCGTTTTATAAACAAAAAGTCGTGAGGTTCCTGGTTCACCCCCCGCCAAGAAGGTAAATCCGTATATTCAGAAAAATAATAACCCACCACCACCAACAACCATCCATCATTCACCGATAACATACCGGTAACCATCTTGCTCTCAAACTACTTAAAAAACTAAAACTTACCATCGCACTCGAGTACGGTGCTTCGGACCAGTTAGCCCCAGATCAATCCCTTCCATGAAGCTTAAAAACTACAATACCGGCTCCCCACAATTCTGATACTGACCAAAAACCTCGAGCGACCGGCATCATGCTGGTACTAGTACCGCAAAATCTCGTGAAATCCACAGTCCCCAGCACCCACAATCCACGTGACCAGGTCATATACAATAGCCTATGAGTTGAAGCACAGCCTCGCAACGGTAAAGTTAGCGATGTTTGGCAGATGCCACGATACCGCATATAGTAGCCGCTATTCCTTCCCAAGTAAGAGTTTCGTCAGGCGGAGATAGCCAGCTACTTGTATAATATCTTCTACTCGTACCAATCATTCCACCACCCTATCATTCTTCTACACGTGTGCTGAACCGATTAGGATACCCGATTAACAGCACAGCATAATATCATACAACGGCACTGCCTCCTAGAGCCCCAACTCAACGAATCCCAACCTCATCCGCTGCCTCGCATGCCGCGACACCTCTCCATGGTACAGTACCGGTACCCGTACTCGAGTACTTGTGCTGCCATGGTATCGTAATAAGCAGCCCCAGTCACAGTACCGGTACTTGTACAAGCAAGGAATAGTTCTACAAGTACAGTACCCGCGGCCCTGGCGGATGCCATGCCGAAGGTCTACCCGAGCGGGTAACAGCAGCATATCGATCACCGACGTGGCAGTGTGTTAGTCGTTCCTAATGCGCACGGTCGTCAAACTGATGATGCCCCTCACGTCGATGTGGTTCGCGTAGGCTACCGCATCGCAGTCCTAGTCCCCCCCCCTCAAGATCAGCCGCAACCAATTCCATAAGCTGGGCTGGATAGAGCGGGTAAATCCACGATAGAAGTATTGTACTTATATTGTACGGCACTTTATTCAATAGCCCTCAACACAGTCGGCAAAGGAATGGCCAATAGCCCATCCTCCACTATGGAATCCTCAGTTGCGAATACACCACCCTCAGCATGGGATGTTGAAGAAGTCGATTACAAGACCCTCATGGAGGATGAGATAGTGATAGCAGTGATGGGTGTCACGGGCGCTGGGAAGAGCCACCTTATACGGCAAGTCACAGGACGCAACGAAATTGCCGTCGGGGACGGTTTAGAATCTTGTATTCCACCCGTTTCCCTCCCTTCCCTCCCAATCCATCCGGCACCGGAAACAAGTATATACTAAGAAGGGGTGGTTGTAAGGCACCGACAAAATAGCTTCCTACCGATTCAAACACGACGGTCTAAACATCACCCTCGTCGACACCCCGGGATTCAACGATACCTACCGCACGGACACGGATGTCCTCCTCGATATAGCAACATGGATGGAATTCAGCTACCGGGAGAACTTCAAACTCTCGGGAATAATCTACCTACACCCCATATCCGCCGTTAAAATGGAGGGCTCGGCGCTCAGAAACCTACGCATGTTCCGGAAACTCTGCGGAGAGGATGCCCTCAATCATGTATTCCTTGCGACAACCCATTGGAAAAACGTCCCCGAAGAGCTCGGCCGCAGGCGCGTCAAAGAATTGAGAGAGAACCCGGAGTTCTGGAAGGGAATGCTGAGTCGTGGCGCTAAAGTTGCCAAGTACCTTGGTGATAGAGAGTCCGGTTTGGACCTCATCGACGTGCTCGTCAAGATGGGCCGCGTGACGTTGGGGATTCAACACGAGATCGTGAATGAGGGTAAGGAATTATACGAGACTGCGGCCGGGGAAGCGGTGAACGCGGAGCTCGCGCGGTTGCAGAGGAACCATGAGACGGCTTTGAATGCTGTGAAGGCGGAGTGGATGCAGGCGTTGAGGGACAAGGATGAGGAGCTCAAAGAGGTTCTCTCCGAGGAGAGACAGAGGATTGAAGAGAAATTGGCCCAGGTGGAGAATGATAGGGAGAATTTGAGAAGGGAGAGGAGGCGCGAAATTAGAGAGCAGGAGGACGAGTGGCATAGGCGGGTCAAGAACATGGAGGGAGCGCAGCAGAAAGAACGCGAGGAGTTTCAACAACGATTCAGAGAACTACAAGCTTCTGTTAGAGATGGAGAAAGTAGGATCCCCTGGATGTCGCTGATAGATTTGGTGGCAAAGGGGTTTGTTCATTTCATGAATTCTAGGGGATAGTTCTCTTTTTTCTTATTGTCTCTATTCTGGCTTGTGTTCTAGCAATTTTACCCCTCTCGGATCCTTATGTGAGTCCAATAACTAACGATTTCCTCGATCCTCAGCTCCATTCAGATAGTGATTTGCAACTTGGGAAATGGGACAGCATGAAAAAAGCGCAGGGAAAGGGGGCATATTCGTGCTCGGGGGGGCTCGGGAAATAAGGAGGGTATTTTTTACATCTACTACTTGAGTGTAAAGAGGAACCCGATGTGATGATTCTCGAGATATCATAATATCTCCCAAGATACCGCCCCTACTAGTAGTACTCGAGTAACGTACAGTACCTTACATTGTAACCAGCCCCATTCACTTCCAGATGTAAATATATTGTGATTATCTTCTTTTTTTCTTCTTCTTTTTCAAACCGATAATAAGGCGATCTGTAGCATTCCCATCCCTAAAACCCCCCAGCCTACCTAACGTCCCTCCTCCAATGATCGAAGTCGCCCTGGAAATGCTCCTACCCATCGGATGAGCCAAGCGATGGATCCGGGAGTCATCCAAGCCCTTATCCAAGAATGCGCCCCCGACCACCAGGCACCCTAGCTGACTATCTACATGTCGGGGTCCTGATTATTTTCCAAGGCCTTCACTATTTATGGCTATGATACTATATTCGCCACCTAAAAAGGGCTGCAAATCGACAAAAAACCCCTCTCGATCCCTATTCCACACGAAACCCCAGCCCTCTCTTTACCAGCCATTCCGCTGGTAGGCCAAATCAAACTGGGAAACCGGCGGAGAGCCTTTTCGAAAAAGAAAATTGAAAGGTCTGTGGGATCGAGAAACCGCTGAGTATCTGCAGTAGCAAAATTGTGGTTAGCATTCCGGTATCCTTCGTAGGACACCCCCGACAAGTAAAAGGTCTCTAGTCACTTTCGGATCTTATGATATTCCACCCCATGGAATAAAGCATTACAAGTAACCAATCTACCGTTTTTCTATCACCAATATCTTCTCATAATTCTCTTGAAATTTCTTAACCCCCATAGTGTCGAGCCGTAAGTCTCTGCGAATGGTTGGTCTTCGTGTAAAATACCCAACGGCCCGAGTTTTTTTGTCTCCTCCCTGTAGAACAAGGCGCTTGTCATCTACTATACAGTACAGTACAGTACTGTACCCCTAACTTATATGGCATCCCCATACCGGTATTACAAGTCCCGAGCTACTTTCCAGATCTTAGCACACAATTTCATTAAAACATCACAACTCGTCCATCTACCGTACTCGAGCACCGGCACGGGCCCCGCACTTCCATCAGAGGAAGAAATGGTTGCCTCTACGATTATTACAGTTTCATGAAACTCCCCATTTAGGTAGTATAGTACTGTACCACCTATGATTCTCGGGAACAAAGGAAGAAGGTACTGCGAAAACTGACCCTTCGCCCCAGCTCAAGAAAAAAAGAAGAAAAATTCAGTACACCCGCCAGCAAAGGCAACACCAGTGTCCTAGCGCCAGATTCCGGTATTGGAGTTAGCACTGTAGCTGTATAAAGTCGTTAACTATTTACTAGGATTCTCAGCTACGGTACCAGTTTGGTCAATTGTTACTATCCTCTCAACAACGACCCTAACAACCATACCGGTATAATACCTACTACTAACGAAGGATGGTCGCGGAATGATATCAGATGATGAAAAATATCCTCCAGCCGATGGCTGCCCCTCTCTACTAGTAATCGCCAGATATGTACGAGCTTGGGGACAAAATTCGCTGATGCCCCCCCATTTTGTACCAATAATGGGTATTTTTCACTTTGCGAAACCTCGGCCCCATCGCTCTACGAAAAATGGAAATTTTTTCTAAGACCTTTAGAGTATCTAGATATTGTTGCCCACATGCGACAAGCTTTGTTAGTAAATGTCCGTGGTGCAATACTAGAAGTGATGACGGTTGGCAAGTGGTATGATACCTACGAGGCTACCTGACAAAAAGTACATGGCAGCAGTATTGTCTTACCTGGACGGCTCTGAGAAATCATGGGAAAGTAGGAAAATTCTCATAATTTTTACCTAGAGGGTCTGGGTACATTATGATATTAATTCAATTAATTCTATACTTCCCCTAAACGAGTCTTGAGTGCCACTCCCGGTGTAAAACGGGGGGTCAGCGAATTTTGTCAACAGGATTGTACAGTACAGTAACCAGCTTAAAACTCCAAATCGATAGTCTACCTCAGCAATGGTATTATACTTCCTACTCTTGAGTAACATTCAGAGAGGATAAAGCGCCAAAAAGCTCCTCTACCAGACCCTATGTTATTATATCAGAAACAACAAGAGAAAAGCCAACTTTACACCATCAAACTCCAGAGCATTCGTAGTGGCATAATAATGCGCAACCTCACCACGAGTTCCACACTCCTCGCCCGGACTCAAGCAATCGCAATCAACCCACTCCCCGCAAAAACGCACGACCCGCGAAAAAAATCCCCATACCGGTAATTCAGAACCTTGGGCACCAACCCCCGAGTCCCCCCGAAAGAAGATGGGGCTCCCAACGTCCGGGGGGTTCTGTCTGCATCCGATTGAACTGGAGGATCCAATGGGTGAAACAGCAGAGTGAGCACATAGCGAAAGGGCCACTCTCATCAATTGATATCTTTCGGAGGCCAAGTTTCTCAGGTCATTATTCGCATCTCAGCCCCGCCCCCGACCGCAGAAACCCAACGAGGGCGGATAGATTCCCCCCATGAGACGACCTAGCTCAAATTTATCTCTAATTTAACTGTTTTTCGGGAGTGCCGTCGACCACACCCAACACCTCCCTACCATTAGAACAAACCAATGAGAGAAGAGGAAAGAAAACCCCCGTCCTTTAGGCGTAGAGTTCCGGAACCCACGCCGCGAACAGCCATTCTCACTGACCTACCGGTATCAAACCACACCTTTAGTCATAGCAAAACAAATTATAATGTAAGTTAACACTCATCGGGATAATAAATCGGAGTTTCTCGAAAATAGCCCCCCTCTTCAATCTCCAAATACAGAGGTTAGTAGTAATCAGTCAACGGGACAGTAAAATCCCACCAAATTACAACCTTACGGCATCTTCCTTGACCTACCCATCCTACACCATCATGAACTCCTAAGCCTTTCGCGAGAGTTAGTGCTCCACCGATTCCACCTTATACTAGCGGTATGGAATACAGCTGCTAATAACTCCCAGCTCTATCCGGTTCGAGATCATATCGAGTGTGTCCTTTGTCGGCTGGGGGGTATGCTCGCCGTTTTCCGGCTGCTCGGCCGGCCCGTAGGAAAGGTTTTGGTTTGGGATACTATTATTCTGCTAGTAGATGTGGTGTCTAACGACCCTTTGGAGGGGGCTGTACTGTACGTGGTCATGGTACTCAATAACACGTTCTTTTGGTCACTTGACTCCCCCTCCCCCCCGCCCGCCCAGGGATTAAGTTCTTCGGAGAAGGTATGATAGATATAAGGGGGTGTGGATATTAATGCTGCATACCGTCAGAACTACCTTTGCCAATGTCCCCACGGAGCAAGGTTAAGTTTTCAAATCCCACAGAAAAGCGCGGATGGTTAATTACCTACCCGGCAGTGGGATCTCCCCCGTCAAAAAAAACAAAAGATGTCTGTGAGCAGAATTCAACTGGATTACAGAATTGCTATCCTATTGGTGGGACCCCGAGCCCTGGTAACATGCCCAAGTAGTAACATGACGATAATATCATTATTTCAGATTTGTCGGAATATGGCTTCCTAATGAGGAAGAAGAATCTTTTGTCATGGGAAGATAATGGAAAACACAAGATGAGGGAGTATATAGTATAAGGATGTAAGAATAGTAGGAGGGAGACGGAAATCAACCATTTTTTCTCCTATAAAATATCTCTATAATACTATTACAACAAAATTGTGTCTTACAGAACAGGGCCAGGGCATACTACTTGTCCAAGGTTGCAAAGACGCTTGACAGCCTCCATCTTATGGTAAATCCAAAGTGCAAAGTGCACAAAGCAGATACTATCATCATATATGTGCTCCGGTGTAAGGGTATTTCGCGTCCAGTTACACAAGTATTCTCTTGCTTATCAACAGTCACCTATTTATTCTCCAAGTAAGCAGACAATACCATATCACACCCCTATATTGTGCCGATCCTATCCCAAAAACCAAATACAAAAGCGAAAATCACGCAGCTTAAAAGAACATGTGAACAAAATCCACAAGGCATCCAACATTGTGAAAGCACACAAGATGAGGGTGTGAAGATAATTACCCTCTGTGATGATGCTGGGTAGAATTGAACCCAAATAGGTCAACACTTAAATATGAATCGACAAACCTGCTATAGTGTAAGCATATTTTTCTATTATTATCATAGTATAGGAATTAATATATTTGTTACCAGATCTACAAAGGAGTAAAAGAAAGTGGCATCCTATAAAATACGTATTGTACTGGCCACCTGCCCATATTCAATGATACCGAAAAGCAGCATTTAAAAGCTTTTATAACACTTGATACCAGAACACGATAGCTTAGTTGAAATGAGGTATGCCTAGAGATGGGCTATGCATGCAGTCCACACATAGTAAAGAGTGTGATGAAATCTCTAGGATATCACCGCCGAGTACCAAGATGAAAGTTTGTGATTCATCTGGCCAACTATCCATTGCATGTGGCATGGTGCCTTAAAATGTTAGGCAGAGACAACCTGATAGACTGCAGAGTTGTCTAAGGCCAAACAAGATTCGTTTCTGTAGATGGAGATTGTCTAGGAAGGCTTGAACTTCACTCATTTCGTTTATGACTACCTAGAGTGAAGTAAAATAGGTAAAGTAGAGGAGAATCGTGAAGACAATATTATATTGTTAAGGTCTCTTCTCCATTGCTTGATGATGTCTAAAAGCGTGGGAGGCACTTCGATATTTATATTCTATATCTGAGTGTTTACAGACTACATCTATCTATTATACAACTATGTACTTCTGATTATAACTAGCAAACATTGGGTATTCTTTAAAGTGCAAATACCCAGAGACCCTAAAAACTACTACA